TTTTTTTTGTACTGATTATCCAATTATTTTCAATGATTATCCAAATTGTTTGTAGTACTTATCCAAATATTTTCTTCTTTTTTATTTTTTTAAAGAGGAGTGAATGTAAAAAATATGATTGGACAACCAGTACAAACAAAATGGATAATCAGTCTAAATCTGTTGGATAATCAGTATGAACACAACGGATAACCATTTTCAGGAAAAAAAAAAACATATTTCTTCATTTCTGCATGTAAGATTTAAATGCATTTAAAGTTCAAAAAAAAAATATTCAACATTGATCTTATCGGATAGATCTCATCGAGCACTATTAATTTCATACATAATTTGTGTTCTAATTATTTACGGATCAAAAGATATAAAGAACACAACAATATGAATGTAAAATAAGTTGGTTATCCATCTTCTTAAACTGGATATCCATCCGAATGAAGGTACAAATTTCTTTTTTTCTGCCCATCAAATTTAGTCATTTTTAAGTTGGAAAAAATATTCGATATGAATCTTGTTAGATAGATCTCGACGAGTACTATAATTTTCATATATAACACGTTCTCTAATTCTTCACGGATCATGAGATATGGTCATTTAAAAATTAGAGATGTTTTTTAAAGGAGAAAGAAAAAAAATACAGGGATTAAACCTGCAAATTATAGAATGTTACTAAGAAAAGTGAAAAAAAAATGTAGTAAAGACTAGTAATGCTAAAAAATAGAAGGGGACATGGTGCTTCCGGGTGCACCCAATAAATTGCCAGAACAAGATCGTTATCTATTCAATAACAAGATTCTCAGCATCGTGTTTAAGTTCTTATTCTAGTGGAAATTCACTCACGCGCATACGAATAATTAGATCTACAGTTTCTGTCGAGATATAAAAGAGTTAAAAATAATTATAGTGGAACGTCGTTAAATTAATAATTTTTAATAATTAATAATTTTTTCGTTCCAAATTGAGACCAGTACAAAAAGTTAAAAAAATCGATAAAATTATAGGATAATAATCTTTCAGAAAATTTCTTATTATATCAATACGTCCAAATAACACTATCAATTAAAAAAAAAACCAAAAACCAAATAAATAATAATAATAACTACAAATATGCAGTAAAATATGAATGATTGATACTTGTTCAAAAGTAGATAAGTTAAGTATTGGCCTCAAGCTCGTCACCGAACTTATGATTTATGATTGGATTCAATTCGTTGTGCACGGACAAGTGCGAGTACTTGAACTGGAAGCTTCTGGTGATGATATCACTAAAACTGAATGGATTGCTGTCTATAGACCTGGATTCAAGGCCCGATTTATAGTTTCCTTGTTTTGGACAAGTTGTTAACGTTATAACTCCCTAACAAGAGCTGCTTTGCTTCGTTACAACATCCTTGAAGTTGGTTAATTTTAACATTGACGATGAAACAGTTCATTTCTCGAACGATTGTATTTGAAAGGTGGGACGGCTTTGAATAACCTGAACGTTGTTAATGTATATCATTGCAAACCCTTTCGTTTATGCTTTGCTTTGATCAGGGAGAGATTCCTCTTGGTAAGTGGGATTTCCCTTCTCTAAGACGTCTCAAACAGCTTGATATATATGGATATCGGCATGACTCCAAAGATTATACTACTATAATTTTATAGCAACAACAATATGTTTAATAATTATTAATCAATGGGCATCCTATTATTGATTTCCTCTCGATCCCTCTCCTTTTTTTTCTGGAGTTCTTAACAATTTATTTCGCAAATACAGGTTCGAAGAAGTGGAACCGATGTCGACCCGGTCAATTGGCAGAATGCATTAAAGGCACCGAAATTTTCTTTGCAATATCTAATGCATTCTTCATTTGGGGGGCCATAGCTACACAGGCCTGTGCCCAAATCTTTTCTGCAGACTGCTCCATCGATAATCACTGACCTACCTACACAGAATCAAGGTTGTACTAATTGTTATTCCTCTCGTCCCATAAAAATAGTTCTGACATTGTAAATTTTTAATTTCTAATATTTTCAATACGATTTATGCATTTTAGAGAACACGAAATTCAAGAATTCTTCTAGATTTAAGTAAATGAGTAAGAAGAGAATGTGATGAAATGAAACGTTAGGAGTGGCGGCCATTTGTGGTAGGACATTAGCCTAATAAAACGTGTATGTCTACATTTTTAATTCAAGAGCAATACAATCCTGATAAAAATAACAGCAACACTTCTGTATGAAAGATTCACTTCACAAACACAAATTACAAAGCCAAGTGAAAAAGAACTTTAATCAGCGGAAAGAAACTACGATAACTGAAATTAATTAAAGGGATCTACAGTAGACCATGATGAACTTCATTATAAGGTTCTAACCTCACCAGAAGAACAATATAAATGCCAAGAGAAAAAGACAAGCAGAGTTTTGCAAGAGGATATGCAGTTACCTAGGAGAATGACAGCAAGAAAAAGAAAGATTGATGATAAACAAGCCTTGACAGCCATGTCTTCTCGTAATCCTAATATCTCCGAGCGAATATAATTTGTTCTGAGATGAATATTGTATAAATATTACCCCCAGAAGGCCAAAGTAAAATCTGGAGCCTTCCTAAAATATGGAAACTAAATCAGCCTCATTAATAGAGTATATTTCCATGTAATGAATGAACTTTAATGTGAATAAAAATGAAAGTTAATTGGACACATGATTATCCAAAAATCAAATCCGTAGCTTAAAGCAACTTGAAAACAAAATGAAGAAACGAAAATTTTGTTTATTTTCTCGTGAACATTTCTTTCACCACAAATATTAACTAAAATTAATATAAGTGGATTGTAACATCGGATACGTCTAATAATAATTTCACCTCCACGATAATCTTTTTTCTTTTGAACAAAAAAAACTTTTAACAATTAATTTCGCAAATACAATGCAGCGGGTGTAATTTCCCTACAAATTGACAGAATCCATTAAAGCCACCATAGATTTGTTTGCAAATTCTGGGGCAGTCAGGATTCTCAGCATAACTACACAATCTTGTATCCAACTCTTTTTTGCATACCGCTCCATGGATAACTACTGCTCCAGCTGAAAACAGAAATAAATAAATAAGTAAAAGTTTGTAGCAATTGTCATTATTCAATTCATTTGAGAGGAAAATATATTCGAGAGAAAACAAGATTCAAGAATACTCTTTGCCAACTTAAAATACTAATTACTACTCCTCATTCTAATAGTCTATTTTTATCGAAGTAAAATAATTCAACAAAGTGAAATATCAAATATAGTAATCAGCTTCTGAAGTTTGTTAAAAAGAATGAAACACTCTATATATATGCAGTTACCTAGGAGAATGATGGCAAGACAAAGAAACACTGATGAGAAAGAGGCCTTGATAGCCATTTCTCTAATATCCGAGAGTATATTAGAAAATGTTCTGAGATGAGATGTATTCTGAAATTCACGAAGAAGACAGACAAAACACAGTTTATATAGCAAAATATGGACCCATCCTAAGAAGCAAAAAAAAAAAAAAAAAAAAATTAACTGAGATAACAATCAGCCACATCAATTGAAGAATCTTGTTAATTAACTTGACGATCTTAATTTGTGTGGATAAAATCATTAAAATAATCTTATCACCTAACCAAAAAACATGTCATATTTGTAGATTAATTCTGATAGTGTTTTCTGTTGTGTTTACCATCCTCCCAAAATCATGGGAAAATCGTTCCTTTCATTTTATGTTATTAATGTGATATATTCTGCAATATCGTATATGATGTGATATATTCTGCAATATCGCATATGATTACTTACTCTGTCATGAAATTATTGTCCAATGTGAATTTTCATTTTTAGTTCAATTTGCACTAACACTTAAAATCCAAACTGGACAATAATTTTGGGATAGGAAAATATATTATTGTCCTCATTATCCTCATCATCAACTTTGTTTTAGTAATTTCGGTGTAAGAAAAATGATTTTATATTGAATTAAAACAGTCTAACAAAACAAACTATTTGCCTTTGACGGAGAGAATTATTAGTGCGTGAGTTTAGGACAAATGTAGAGTGTAGTTTGAAGTCCAAAGATGATGCTGTAAGCTTGGTCGTAATGATAATTGTAAAATATCATTACACTAATTAAAATGTTATGAGAAGAGATGTTTACTGCAGTACAGAAATGGAATGATACTCTTTGTCCAAACAAAAAAGCAAAACAAATACGATCTCAAAACAGAGGAATCAATCGGGTTAGTTTATTCTAAGTCATAATCAACCAGTAATCCGGGCATTACTACTATTAATCTCCTAAAGTTAAAACCGGACAGCCACCATCTTAATCAATAGTTGCATATTTTTAGTTTTATATTCTTGCACTCTCTTTGAGTTAGAGTTTTTAGACATCTAACTAGCAACAAATTATCGGGATTTACATGATCTTTTAGAACCATACACTCACTGGCTGCATGCTGGCAATTAGGCCCTTTGTTTTGTTTTGTTTTGTTTTTTCTTTTTGTAACATAAAAAATTTCATGAAAATATCCAAAATTATTTTGTTTGTTAACCTGCTCCAACATTGAATATGGTTCTCGGTGCGATGGAGGGTTTTGATTCCCCTCACACAAGCATGTCGGAAATAATGGAAGTATATCGAAATGATTTTATTTTTTTATTTTTTTATTTTTGAAGTGTACTGCTTCATACATTCTGAATCCTTTTTGCAAATTTATCTTTTTTATGAAAAGATTACGATGTCTTATTTTGGCTAAATACTTTCATTAATTAAAGAATATACGTACGGTTTTTGAAAAAACAAATATTCCTCAATAACATTGGCATAACAAGTCTATATAACTGTCTCAAATCATGCCACAATATATATTTTTTAGTTTGTGCATTTTCGACTTGTCAATTGGGACGTTGGACATTTTCCAGGTGCTACATGGTAAGGGAAACCATTAACTGATTCACGTTCTCCCTACAATAAAAAAACAAGGCTGAGACTTCATACGTTACTCAATCACCATTTCAGCACCATCCGCTAGATTATCCTCCAGCATCTTCAAGGTTTCACCTCCTATTATTGCCACCATTTGCTGTTTGATATCCTGCTTCTTAGTTTTGATAGTTAATTTCTTCAACGACTTGCACATCCGAACCAGGCCCACTGCAAATTTAAACTTCATCACTTTGACCACAGAAATCCGTCAATGTAACAACTTTCAAACGCCTATGACTATAGCGCCTTACATGGTCTTTGACAATGTCCCTTAGCTGGTCGGACATTTCAATGGCCAGTCCCTATATCACGAAGGATGAAGGCACAAAAAGTCACATTACTTGTCAGACTCCAAAAAATAAAGTACAGTAAAACATCTATAAATTAATAACATCTCTAAATCAATAATTTTCTCTAGTCCCAATATTGAACCAGTACCAAAAAAATGATACTACCTCCTTTTCATATTATAAATCCAGTTCCTAATTTGGTTTATGTGAAAATATAAGTCCAGTTTGTAATCCAATGCATACCAAATGCATAATTTACTGTTTACCCGGAAAGAAAAAAAAAGAGGCAGTCCATACCGCTAATAGTGGAGCCACTGGTTTCCACTCATGGAACTGCCACGAGAAGACCATAACAATTGTTAAAACAAGACAAAGATCACAATACTTGATAAACATTTAAGCATACACAACAAAACGCGAGGCAAAGACTTACCAAAGAAGGCAAAGAAAATGCCAACCAAAAGCTCATATACATTTGCATCATATATGCACCTGAAGGTACGTACCTGAACGGATAAGGTAGACAAGAAAGGACATGCTCGAATACACCCCAAAAAAAATATTAGGCTTGTACCGCGAGTCGTGCCAAGAAACATATCAAGCTGTTTGAGCCTCCTCATGGGGGGAGAATATGACCCCTCTGAGAGAGGCCAGCAGCAGGAATTTCTGCCTGATCAAATCAAAGCATAATTGAAATGGTTAACAACGATACATTATTCACAAATGTAATAACAAAAAGAAAGAAAAAAAAGATGGTTGTTCCAACCGGACGAGAAATATGCATGGCCACCTCCTTCACCAATTGATTTGAATACACTTCATGCACTCCCTTTCTGTGCATAAAAGAGATGACATAAACTGTGTCCATGGATAACCTCGGACAGGAGAGGGACATTTTCAAAGGAAAATTCTACCACCCACTTAGTACCATGGTCACGATATCCCTTGTACTCAAAATACACAAGATTTGGACCCGAAATCTTCAATTTTTTCAGATCCCAACAAGAACCTAAACTCAAGTACTTGAGGGAGGGAGAGTTAGCATTGAGGTTCCTCAAACCTGTTCCACCTTTCAGATACAATCGTTCCACAAATGAACAATTGGATAAAATGTAATCCATCGTCTCGTCGTCGACGTTAAAGTTAACAAGCTTCAAGGATGTTAATGAAGCAAAGCAGCTCTTGATAGAGAGAGGCCACGTTAATAACTTCTCCAAACCAGGGAAATTATAACCGATGGAGGACAAACCAGGGATATCGAAACTGGCCCTGAATTCGGGACTATAATAACCCAGAGACTCCCTCTCGGTGATATAGCCACAAGCTTCCAGATCAAGAACCCTCACTTCTCTTTGCACAGCAAATTGAATCCAATCACAAATCACAAGATCAGTGACGTTAGGCGATCGGAGGTTCAGCCGAATGCTTAACTTATCTATGTTTGAACAGCGATGCAAAGCCAAAACTTCGGTTACTGAAGAAATGAAAGAAGCATCATTTCCAGCATCACTCAAAGCAAAATCAAAAGCCAAAGTACGAGATGCGGACCTCCATAAATGTCTCCATCTACGAGAAAGGACGTACATTGGTACGTGCCGCTTCACAATTAGTTAAATAGGAAAGAACTATTATAATGATCTCATCAGGTAAACTGTCTATGTAGCAAGAAGCCTTCGAAGCAATCTTCCTCTTCCCCTAGGCAATAACAATAGCAGAAAAAAGGAGAACACAACTTGAGTTCAGTTCGTGGGTTCCAATTAACAAATAAAATAAATGCAAAGTATATGTGAAAGAGCTAATTAATGCCCAAACAACTAAATGGTGTATTCTTCACCAAACATGATCAAACTTCCCGATTCCCAAAGGAAAAGAGCAACCATTCTTACAATGATCCCATCTGCTCACTTTTTAAACAGCGAGTAAAAATGTTAAAGAGTGGATCTTTACAAAGTGTTTTTTTTATCTGCTCTTATTCCATAAGAAAACACATAGACAAAATAGGGAAACTATTAAAAAAAATAATTACTTGAAGAGCAACCTAATCAAATCAAATCGCCATATCATCTATCAATTTTCTCTTATAGTCACTCGAAAGAACCCTTAGAGCCTTAACATAATCGGGATTGCTTTTCAAAGGAGCAGAGAAAAACATCAGAATTTACCAGCCAAATAAGAAAAGTACAAAAAAACAAAAAAAAAAAAAAAGAAAAGAAAAAATGGACAAAACTACCTGCATGATGTTTCCGGTGGCTTCACTTTTTTGTGGATATGTTTTATCTGGTGTAATTCAACTTGCGAGGATCTCATATGTGTGATGGGTCAAACCCTAGTTGACCTGGTTAATTATATACAAAGTTGGAATTCTCTGCCGGTTGGAAGTGTACTAAACTAACATGAATGTATTATTTGATCTACATTAGATCATTGGGGAAAATCCGATCTTATCAGTTTTTTAATTAATTAGTGCGAGCTTTTATATACCAAAAAATAGCGCACGTATATGTTCTTAGCCTCATCTGATCCTCCATTACTATTAATCTATTATTAATGCGTGAGTTTATATAGGACAAATGTGCGTATTAGTTGTAGATGGAAAAAAAAAAAAAAAAAAAGGTGTGTGTTATGCATGATCTTGGGTGAAACGTAGTAATGAATTATGATACTTTAAACCAAGTTTTACTATAATTATTATACATCAATAAACTAAAATGATAAGTACAATATAGAAGTGAAGATATTCTTTTTTCCAAACAGAAAAATAAAAAACAAATACGATCTCAAAACGGAGGATCAATCGAGTACATTGACTCTATATAATGAAGCAATAACGACTGCATTCCTAATTTCTAATATTAATCTCCCAAAGCAAAAACAGGGCAGCCACCCTCAATCCTTCATCAATAATTGCATATTTGTAAAAAAAAAAAAAGAAAAAAAAAAGTAATAGTTTCACTCTCTTTGAGTTGGCGTATTTAAACTTCCGAATATGCACGATTTTTTAGGGCCATGCATTCACTGGTTGCATGTTGGCACTTATTCTGGTGTTTTTCTCCCCTTTTTGTAACACCCAAAAAAAAATCACGATAAGACCCAAAAGGATTTTGTTTGTTAACCTACTCCAACATAAAATATGGTTGCCGGTGTATGATTTTGTTTTGACTCCTCTCAAATTCAATCCAACACACATGCATTGTTGGAAACTAATGGAGTACATCAAATCTTTTAACTAATTTTCTTTTACTGTGTACTGCTTCATCCCTTCTGATCCTATTTACAATTTTTAATTTTTCTAAAAAGAAATAACGAAAGCTTATTTTTGGCCAAATACTTTCAATAATTAAAGTATATATGTACAGGGATCTCTTTTGGTAGAAGAAATATGTACATAGCTTCGATTAACGTTTTATGATATTAAAAAAGTTGGAAGAGAATCCCCAATTAACAAGTCTAAAACTGCCTCAAATCATGCCACAATATTTTTTTTAGTTTGTACACTTTCAACTTGCTAATCGGGATGTTGAACATTTCCAAATGCTATGACAAGAAAACCCATTACTGATTTAAAGTAGTGCAATGATATGAAAGGTGAGAGAAAAAAAAAAGGGAAATATTAAAACTCCATAGATATTTTCCAACTTCAAAACTTCAAGCTCTCTGCACAATGTTGATGGCTCGTATTTTTTCACCTTTTGATAAGGTATCTTTGGCTCGTACATAGTGCGTGTAACATCCAAAAGAAAGTATATTTTTTCACACACATACATGCGCTGCACATATACAATTGTAGGACCAAAGATAAACTTTTACATATTAATTTACAAGTGTTCAACGTCTCTTTCGCTGATGCAAACAGCACAATTCATAAATAAATTTACTTATTGTGGCTTTTAATACTTCTAACAATTCATAAAAATCAATGATGATTGGAACTCGTTAATGAAACAATATTGCATTTGCTCTGTATACATTTTACAACCAAGCAAAACAATACATTTAATTTAACCAAACAATAAACATGATAGATTCATTGTGCTTCATTTCACAGTTAATCGATCGAGATCGATACATGTTACTTTTACATCCAACCTCTCAACTTCTGTGAAATGTAGCTCATCATTATTACCCCAAACATCGCGCTAGTCTTCCACAAACAGCATTACATATAATGTGCACCCATATTTGAAGAGTGCTACAACATTGATTCAAAAAGTTTGATGACTAATTAATAATGGGAAACATAAATGTCGTGCACAATTCACTTAGTTTGATGATCATCAACTAATTATAATGGAGAATGTAAACATTGTATTCCACAACAGCAATAGCAATCCCGTCTTTCACAACGTAAGAATGTGGTCTTGCTTCAGCATATCCACGAGCGAACCTAAACACTCCACTTCCTCCGACGATAGGCATTTCCCTCACAGTGTGAAGTGGCGGATTCCTGCCAAGAATTCCGATCGTACTCCCATTGTACTTCTCGTCAACAAACAAAATATTCAAAACCATCAAGTAGCTTATTTCATCCAAGGATGACGATCCATAAATCCCTTGCATTTTCCCCACAAGTTTGGAGTTCAAATCCGGCCCTTCAGTTAATGGATCGTCCATCATCGACACCGACCCGAAATTAGTCTTGGAAGTGGCCTTCAATGGGGATTGTGAGACCACGGCGGCAGTAGGGTTTGTTCCGCCGGTTATGTCGTGGAAGTAGAAGTGAAGGTGGGTTAGGGTTTCGGTCATCTTGGTCAGCCCTAGTTTGTCTTTGGATATGGCTTGTGAGAATTGTTGGGAATTTGCTTCATGAAGAAATGTGGTTATAAATGTGATGAAAAGAATCATTATGGTTGCTTGGAGGTTTTGTGGAGTTTTTGCCATGGCTAGCTAATAATATTGGATGGAATGGAGAAAGATGGGATGAATGAAGTGATGGAGAATGGATTACTTTATATAGCATTTTAGTAGAGGTGTATTTGGACGGTACTGAGGACATAATTATATGCCCGAAGTGACCCAAGTGACAAAAGAATGAGATGAAAATTGTAGTAGTTAGGGTATCTTTGTTCACTTTCTTTTTGATATGGGATTTTTTTTTTTTCTTTGGTGGTGCAATATGGAGGGAAATATTTATAAACAAAACTTTTTGGAGGAATATGCCTTTTCTTTCTTTTGGAATGAAATAGAGTTAAACCCTACCGAAATTTGACCCAATTATTCTCTGAAAACATAAAAAGAAATGAGATGTATTCTTTTTATAAAATATAAAAGCTAAAAAATTTTAGGATGGCTGATAACTACTCCCTCCGGTTCTTATTATAAGACATTTTGATTTTGTTCTAAATTTCACCTATGATGTCTTTTTAATTGAAATAAAAATCTTAAAAATATTTTATAATAATTAAGAGAATATAACGAAATGTGAAAATATATTCTTAAGATTTTTTTCAATTAAAAATACATCCTAGATGAAACCTAAAATAAAATCAAAATGCCTTATAATAAGGACCAGAGGTACTTGCATGTTTTGTAATGTAATAAATACTGGCATAATATTTCAAAGAATATATGGCCAATAGTTTAAATTAGAGGCTATGAATACTACACATCACTCACTATCTTTTTTTCACTATACATATCAATTTCCTAATAATAATAATAATAATAAGCAGCTCTCATTTCAATTTTATCTCCAAAATTATTTTACTTATATTTTCAGTCATCATCATTTGACTAACAAACGTCACCACAAGAAGATCGCGTATGACCAAACAATCAAAAGTTAATCAATTTAGATCATTTAATCTAAAACAAAAGGGAAGCATTTGATAAACCACCCGCAGACCCCTTAGACAGTAACTTAGGTATGATGTAATTAGAATAGCTCACTCTATTTTTTATTCAGCAATGATACATCCAATTACTAAGTACAGTGAAAATATATAGTGACAAATGAAAAGACAGATGCACCATCCACTTACTAAACATGTCTATTTATTAATCAAAGGTAAAAATGTAATTTTAGGAGAAAAATAAAACTTCAACAGGAAAGTAACAAAAAATTACGGACCGTGATTATTTCACATCAGTCACTATTTTTATTCACTAAGAGTATCATTTTCCTTTTTTATAATAGCTTGTAACAAGGTTTAAAACTTTCTCTTTAGTAAAAAAAGAAAAAGGGATATGGATGCTCAGATGCCTTATAAATTTGGGGCCCTTCAAAGTTACTCTGACACCAATTAATCAAAAACCTAAAAGTGACAAACAACATGTGCTGCCACTGGGGATCGATACTGTTAAGGCTTTATTTGTTTGTTTTTTAGTTTATTTTATTAATAATTGTCACATTTAGTATACTTTTCTATATTTTTAATACACATTTTTACATTTAAAATACAAAAACACCTAAAAATACACACTAAAAAACGAACCAAACATACTCTTAGTTACGTGCTCCACCTTGCAGTTTCACTCTCCACTTGTCATATTTTTTCGATACACCAATTTCTCCACCGATTGATCAATTGAAATGTCTAGTTTAGGAAGGTTTAGTAGATGATTTGATCTGCTAAATAAGTTAAAATAAGATCGTGTTTTTTTATTCACGGAATGTTATAACTGATCGAGGTACTACCTAACCTCAGATTTATTTTAATTCTGAAATCATATCATTTTATGGTTGGTTTGAGTGAACGTATAAATAAGCACTCAAATTAATCTAATTTGTCGTGAATAAATTCTTTTAAAGAAAAAAGAAGTTTATTTTTTTATTCAAACTAGGAATCTGGTCAGTTTACTTGAAATCGAGCAGTTACACTTATGTGCTCATTTTGCTCTGGCAGCGAATCTTTGGGAGGAACCCGCCACGCAAATTAATTTCACAAGAATTATAATCTGATGGGATTATCAGACAAATTTATAAGAGTAATATTGGTTGTATTATACAATTCTACTCATCTGAAAATGATAATCTGTTAATTAATTTAATATAACAAACATGATGATCATTATTAAGAATGTATGGTTGTATTATGGAAGATACATTGCATAAAGAAGTAACATTATTAATATGTGGAGGATACATTATCATTTCAATGGCTCATCAACTTAATAAGCCTCGATATATTTATCGATTCCGTGGTTTCATTTTGCTGCTTAAATTGCGAACATTTTTTAAGAGAATTCTCATAGACTGGGAGTTTGAATCTAATAATTGAGATCCTCTAGTTCCAAATGATAGGGATCAGGAAAGATCTTAGATTGGACTCGTAATGTCTTGTAGGCTTGTATAGTAAGTAATCGGTGCATGAAAGTTTGAAAAAAAATAATTTCTTCTGTCCTAAAAAATAATTAACATTAAGTTTTAGGATATTTTTTAAGACAAAGGTAGTAACACAGGAGAATTTCATCCCCAAATTAAGAAAAAAAACTTGACAATGCTTTTTCTTTTTCTCCCCTTTTTTCTTCCCCGGTAATAGAAGTACCACTGGTTATTGTGTATTGAAGTTGCACGCCCAACATTGTCGCAGATTTATCGGAAATATGGTGCTCATAAAAGTTGAAATGATACTTTAAATTATTATGGAACGTAAAGCTGCATCCTGCATGCCACCATTGTTATTGATTACAAGGACTACTGTATATATTGTTTTATTGAGAGACAAAAAAAAAGGTGGGATTTGTTGTTGGATGGAATTTTTTTTTTTTTTTTTTGTGTGTGTTGTTTGTTTTCTATGATAAAAGAAAATTATGAAAGGATCTATATATTTTTTTGCTATAACTCCTTTAAGGCTATAAACTAAATAGTCATAAAAAATGATTTTTTTTCCCCCAAAGTTAATATCTTCCAAAAGAGGAAGGGAGTGGAGTTGGTGGGTTTCAAAGGATAAAGAAATCAGCCACCACCCAACGTTTTGTATTTTCCCTATGTTTGTATTTGTGGGTTCTTTTTAGTTGAGAACCACATAATGATGTAACAAAAAAAGAAAATAAAAAAAAAAGAACCAGATAATGAGACATGCACGTCCTATTTTTCATTTTTATTTTATCTTTTTCATATTGCGCACGGTGTCCTAAGTGCATTGCATTCAGACTAATTCGCACCGAGTCGAGTCAGTCTCTTTTCACAGGGAAATTTCTCCAAACAATACTTTTTCCATTCATGAGACTCGAACCCGAGACCTCGTTTAAGGGAACCAAAGCACCTTATTACTTTGCTCAAACAAGTGTTGGTATTTTTCTGTTGTACTTGTCTCGCAACGGAACATCTTCTTGTATATTTTTCTTTTTCGCAGGTCCAAACTTTTACCATTCACAAATTTCGGTAATATCTTCAATTAATGAGATAAATTTGCGATACTGACGTGTAAATTATTCGTAAAAAAAAATAAAATAAAATAAAATAAGATGAACTGTTACGTATATGGAAATACTATTTGCATCATAATAATAATGAATTACAAAAGGTACCACCGAAAATAGTGATCATTGAGCAGAGATCATGCTGAGAAGTAGATATTCATAATATTAATTCCAACTATTTGATTAATGCCGGAGGATCACAAACAGTAGCGAAGCAAACACATCTCTCTGGCTCTCCAACTCCAGTAAAATCACAATATCCTCCAATTCTACTCCCTCCATACTTCTCCTTGCATTCTTTGGGACAACTTCTTTGATCAGAAGGACTGCACAATTTTGGATCCAAATATCTCTTGCATATTCTCTCCCCATTTATCATCATTGCCTCACATCCAAAAATTATGCGTACTTCTCATTAATATTATAGTAACTGCTAATTTTTTTCACTCAACAACCAAAAAAAAAAAAAAAAAAAGGAAGAAGAAAAAAAAAGAAAAGGGTTAACTGATCTAAATCTTTTTCCTCAAGAAAGGAGCTTTGCACCACTATTTCTTTTCCATATAATTATTATTAGTTAAACTTACTAAGATTCTGGTTTGAACCATTCAAAGTGTGTAAGTTGGACCAAAAAAGAACAAGTAGAAATCTAATCAATCATTGTCTTGATTTTATGTGTTCAGTTATTACACTCAATATTTCAATGTAGTGTGATTGAATCTATATCATATAAAAAATTAAAGACGACAATCTACATTCTTTCCATCTGAAAATAAAAGACAAGTTTATTGTAATGATAATAAAATAAGTGCATAGATAGTTACCCGAATTCTCGAGTAACAGTTTTTGTGCATGAAGAAAAGTGCTTATCCGAATAATACATGGTAGAACAACGCCAACTCACCTAACCAAACAATGGCAAGAACAACCATGATTGATGACATTGAAACCATTGAAGTCTTGACGGCCATTTTCTGAAAACAACACCGAGACTAATTTGTGTTCCCCCAACCCCTCACTTTATATTGATGAAAATCGATAACCCTAATTTTTTTTTTTATTTTATGGAATGGAGAGAAAGAGATTTTTTTTTTTAAAAAAAAAAAACCACAGAATCAACAACTTCATTATTTTGGTAAGTCAAAGGATATAATCGATGTGATTGTGAACAGATTTCTTTTCGGGAGAGTGCAAATCTCACATGAATGATTTCCTTCTTCATTTCTCGAAATATTTTGAAAATTACAATTACTAGTGTTTATCCCGTATGTTGTGCGGGTTGTTCAAGATATATATAAGTTTAATGATTATATGATATTTCTGACAGAATGATATTAATATTGATGATATAAATTACAATTGTGTCAAATCTCTTCGCCGATTCCCTCTAGCCGGGCTTCCCGATCTGTCATTATACCTCGAGAAGTAGAAATAATTACAATCCCCATCCCGCGCTTTAGGCAAATCATACTTGATAGTAGCCAGTCGATATTCGAAAGCAGAGGTAAGATCTCTAACCAGCTTTGACGAGATAAATCTATATTATATTATAAAAAAATAAACTCATTTTATTATGTTCCCCATT